ATCTCAATTTTTGCTATTTGTCCAAAATACATGTTTGAGGTTGGATAAGATGTGCCAGAAATCAAAGTTGTGATCATTACAAATGGTTGCAAGAAAGAACACATTTCCTCTGCTCTCCTCCACTCTTCATTTGATAAGGAATGCTTAAAATTAGTGTCACGACAAGACAAGCAAACAAAGGCTCTTTTATATCTAATTCCACTTTCAAGCATATCATAAGTGGATTCCATCTAGTAGGCACATCTAATTGCAATCCTATCGACGTGTCAATACCACTAACTTGCTCAACACATTGCCTGAAAATCTTCATCCTGGACTCAGACACCTTAACATACTTAAACTGTCTCGAATTTTATTTTTATTGCAACATTTGTCACCTTCAAACCTTCTTGAACTATCAAGTTCAAGATATGTGCACAACACCTCACATGAAAGAATTCCCCATCACAAATCAAGTTATTTTGCAAAATCAACCTCTTTTTCAAGATCTCAACCATACAATCATTTGCAGATGTATTGTCTAAAGTAACAGTAAAAATCTTCTTTTCAATCCCCCAATCACACAAGCTCTCAAAAATTTTGCTAGCTAATTCATGTCCAGAATGTGGAGGCTCCATTTTACAAAAAGAAAGTATTTTACTGTTAAGCTTTCAATTTTCATCCACAAAATGTGCTGTCAAGCATGTATAACCTTCAGATGTTACAGCAGTCCAACAATCTGAGGTCAAACATATTCTACTAGGACTCTTTGACAAAATCACCTTCAACTTGTCTTTTTGTAGCTCATAAAACCTCCTAATATCTGACACAGCAGTTTTTCTACTTATAATCTTAACATCGGGATTACATTCCTTAAGAACTTGCCTAAAAAGAGGAAATTCAATAAAGGAATATGGCAAATCATGTTCAATAATCAACATCCCCAACAACTCCCGTATACGCGGATTATTGATTTGTCTAGATCTAACATTGCCTTCATTATCCAACATCATCAAGCCAATATTATGAAACTTTGGAAGAGCTACACATTGTTTAATATGACGACTTAGATGTGAAGTGCCATGATTTCCACCACATGCTAATAAAGTGCCACAACTATTACACTTTGCCTTAGTTGCCCCCTCTTCATTAACCACCTTAGAAAAAGACTTCCAAACATCCGAGGTATAACTTTTAGCTTTCTTAGGTGGTTTTTGACTAAATGTAGTAAAATTGGAGGGAGTTAATTCTCTTTTACCATCCCCATCCACTGACTTATCATTAGTTTTGGCACTAGATGATGACATACTGTAGACAACACATGAATACCAGAATTAAAATAAAAAATAAAACAACATAGCAGCAAGTCAGCAACCCAGCAACCACAGTAATATTAACATCAAATTCAAGCAACACATCAAATTGCAGACACATGAATAATAACGCAGCAACACAGCTTTTTAGATGTAAATTTAAGGCTGAAGCAACTTAGGGGTGTCACCTACTTTTCATATGTAAAGCAAAATCAGAGAAAGACAGATAACTAGACGCACCTGAAGGCTGATGAAGAGTCTTGAATCCTAAGTTGTTGGAGTCAGAGTGTGATTGAGTGAGCGCAAAGCTTAGGATGAGCCACCAAAGCTGAATCTGAAGCTTAGGAGAGCAAGAGGACGAGCCACCGAAGCTGAATCTAAAGCTTAGAAGAGCAAGAGGACGAGCCACCGAAGCTGAATCTGAAGCTTAGAAGAGCAAGAAGATGAGCCACCGAAGTTGAATCTAAAGCTTAAGAGAGCAAAAGGACAACTGAACGAGCCACCGAAGCTGATCTGAAGTTTATGAGAGCAAAGAAGAGGATGATTGGCGAGCAGTGACTGGACGATGATGAGCGATCTCACCTCGGCGACCTGAATCTGAAGGTTAGGAGTTATGAGAGCAACGAACAGGACGACTGGGGAGCTGCGACTGGACGAGGACGAGGATAAGCGATCTCGGCGAGACGGTGACTTGAATCTGAAGCTTAGGGTTTTGCAGTGTGAGGACTGACGGCTGATTGTTGATGCTGAGGCACAACTTGTTTCGGTCGTGTGAACAAAGTGATCGCGTGAGTGTTTTGCTGGCTTGCGTGTTGCGTCTTCAGGACTCAGGAGTTGAAGACTTGAAGTCAATCTCACGAGTTAGGAGTCACGAGTCACAACACCGTTTTGATCTGAGACCGGGAGAAGGGGAGAAAAAAAAAGAAACCGAGCCTGGAGGGCCGCCCGAGCCCGAGTTCGTTTTTTCAGGGCTTAAAAGGGTCGGGCTCAGAAGCCCGATTTCCTAAAAAATAGCTAATTTTTCAAGCCCAAATCCTTATAAAAATGGGCTTAAACGGGCGGCCCTTCAAGCCCGACCCTTATTCCCGATTTTAGGAACGACTGCGTGTTCTCTTGAAGGACAGCTTAAATATTTAATATTTGCCCCGAAACTAGTTTTGCTTTTTGTTGGTCAAATATCATTCCCTCGAATAATTCACCTAAATCCGGATATATGTCATGATGTCATCCATATGTTCGAGCATGAGGTCTCTGGTTGCGGACAAATAGGAAGCGTATCATTTAATCAAGGCAGCGAATATGATTTATTAACTGTTTTTTTTTAATCAAAACTGAGTAACTTGAATTATATATGATATGATATTAACCTCGTATATTTAACATACTTTTACCCAATTAAATCAAAGTAAATAGATTTTAATGTATTGGTAATATTAATAACAATAATACAGTATAGAATAAATAATTTATGAATGATAGCTACGTATTAATTTAATTAAGTAGATAAATTTTGTCGGATATAATATTCCACATGGCAAAGGAAACAACTCCGTGACATTCTAATAATGAATTGCCTTTCGTTTTCTCGCAATCCACGATGACACCACAAAACCAAATTATTGTGATAGCATGCCTTGCATTGCATGCAATTGGGAGTTACCAATCTTTAATTTATTTATTTTTGATTTCAATTCTGGAATCAAATCAATCGCATTCAGGATCATTACCAACCAACCGTGTCGAAATATTTGAAATATTGGTGGAATCTCTTGCAAAAGATACTCCTCTAACCCACCAGACTAGAAAGGATCTGTGTCATATCGTCAAGTGAAGTGGAGGAATTTGATTCCTTTTTTCTTTGAAAAAAAAAATGGTAGTTAACATTTACACGGAACGCCGACATTCACATTCAGTGTTAGATGGGAGGTTCTTTTTTCAGAAAGGGAGGCCCACAGGGCCACAGCGAAGTGATTTTGAATATTGATCCGGCATCCAATGAATTTCTCATTAATTATGTTTCTTCACACGTAAACCGCGAGAAGGATCAGCGCTCAAGTTTTTATCGGAATAATAATAATAATAATAATAATTAATTCGTGATGCCCTTAGATGTTGTAATCCTACTCACCAGGGTGATGTGTTAACTCCTCCGCACCTTCACCATCTTTGCTGGGCTTGTATGACTATTTTTAATTCGGATTTTATTTTATTAGAGACAGCTTCTCAAGAAGATTAGAAAAACACATGAATGAAATTTTAATTTGAAACCTCAAGTAAGCTTGTCTGATAAAATTTAAAATATATATGTATGCATTCGAACGTACAAGCGAGTCTGCAATGGATCGATTGAGTATTATAGATAAAGTACTGTACAGTAGTGCACATGAAATGAAATGGAATGAAGCCGTGCCTTTTCTTCGGTGATAAATAAAATAAGGATGGTGCACCTCTGAGAAGTGAGAATGCAAAACGTAATTGTGTTTTTTGAGGTGCAAAATGAGTCACGCAACAGCAACACACTAACATTCTCATTTGCGAGTATTTTTTGAAATTAAACTCGCTAGCGCAGTTCTGACTCTTAATTCTGTGCAGCAATAATCAATGCGAAAGGTTGGTACAAATTAATTTTACGAAAGGCACCGCCTGGTATTCACAAAATTAACGATGTTATTTCTTCCAAAAACCATATCGCTACTGTTCCTTTGCCTTTTCATGCCTTTTTCATGAGGAACGAATGATTGCCTCTTTCATGGATATTTCTAAATTCAATAACATGCGTGGTTCCCAGTTTTCCGTTACCACGTCTTTTGCACGCCCGCCGGTTAAAGTGTATATTTAATTTTTTTAGCTTCATATAAGTTTTTATTTTAATTCTTTATTTTTATAAAGCATTTTTTAATTTTTTAATTCTAATATTATTAATTTCATCACAAAAAATTTGTACATTAAACTATCAAATTTTGATAAAACATTATCAAATATTGATATATTTAATTTAATTTTTTTAAGTGTATAAAAAATAATTATTTAAAACTAACAGTAGTGTTAGGGTTAGAGAACGGAACATATACTTTTTAAAATTAAATGACTAAATTAAAATTTTATATACAGTTAGAAGATTAAAAAATACACTTTAGCTGTCTAGTATAGATAATCTCTCTCTCTTTCTCCCTAGAAAATTGTTGAAAAGGATGTAAACATTGTATTTTATCTGGATTTTTATATGTAAAATTAAAATAAATTAAAAAATATAATAAAATTAAATGAATAAAATGAAAATGAAAGAATGGGTTTTTTTTTATAATAAAACATACTCTTTTTTTCTCAAATTATAAAACACTTTAAAAAAAATTATTATTTTAAAACATAAGACACTTTGATAAAAATAAAGTTTTATTAATGATACTTTTTTAATATTATTTTCTCATATATTTTCTCCCTTCAATAATCTTTCATCAATGAAGTATTAAATAAATGTAATTTTAAAAGTTTGTATTTTTTTAAAAAAAATAAAATTATAAAGTATATTTAATAATCTTTATTAATATGTGATATTTTATTTAAAAGTGTTTTATAATTTGAGACGGAGAAAATAAAAAATATTTTCATAATTCAAATTAAAAAAATATTTTTATTTTTTGTGACCTTCAAATCCCCACAATAATGATTTTATTAAATTAAATTTTTTAATTTAAATTTGAAATAATGAAAGCAAAAGTCAAGTAACAATTATTGAGGTTTTGATTTGACATGATCGGGTAATTGATTAGAAAAAACCCCTAGTAGGGTCCATAAAAGGAATAGTAAGAGGAGGAAAAGAAAAGGGTGGAAAATTTGAGATAGGTCAAACGGGTGGACAAAAAGATTGAGAGAGAAAATTTGAAGGAAGGAAGGGAACGAGATGGTGCTTATTAAGATGAACATCATCTTCTTCTTCTCATCTAATCTTTTCAACCATTAAAGCAACTTAGGAGCAGCCGAAATGGTAAACCTGCACATCTCATAGTCTTTGCAAATATAACTTTACCTTCTCAGCTGAAGAAATGGTAGAGAATACAACTGTCAAAGAAAAAGTACGGTTATTGTTTTTTAAGTAAACCTCGGAACCTAAGGAAATTGTAAATGCCTATTCGACAATCCGAAGCATCAGTCCCCCACTACCCCAAGTACTATAAGACGTCTGTCTGATAACAAGTATAATTCCCATAAGTTAAAGGCGCAAGATAGATGCAATGATTAGAAAGTAGATGTCTCAAAGATAGAAAAGAATAAAAAAGGAAGCCAGTAATTAGAGCAATATTGATTACCAGCTTTAGAGCATAGAACTGCAGTTTTGAAGAGGCCGACATGAATCTTGCAAGATGGAATGTGGAGAGGGAGGGGCAGAGAGTAGCTTTGAAGAGGCCAACTTTGGTGGTCCTGCTGCAAGCCTAGATTCGAGGAGGAGGAGGAAGGAGAGGAAAGAGGTGAGAATAGGGAAGAATAATCAGGTAAGAAGGAGGTGAGGAAGGATGAAGGATGAAAGAGTAAGGAGAGGAAGATGCGTTGCTAGTGGTGTAGAGGTCGTTGTCAAAAATCGCGATGGGCAATGATGAGGAGAGAGGAGAGGATTTGGTTAAGATATTTTGGTCATTTGAAGCTCTGTATTAATGTCAGCGAAGGGTATCAAATTTGAATCTCTCCTCGGTCTTTATGAGCAAACAAATTTTTAGTAGTCTGTTTGGGTAATTTTTTTTTTCTTTTTGGGCCTAAATGCAGTGATGGCTAGCTAGCTAGTTATAATCAATTATACTCAACTAATACTACTAATTAGGATTGTTAATGCAAGAATAGCACGAAATGAACAATTGGGGTGTGATTATTAACAACCTTTTAGAGTGAAAGCTAAGTTTAACTGAACACTAATTAGGTAACAATTAGTTGGCAAAATGAAGGCTGGGCAAGTATAGGAAATATTCTCAACTTGGTACAAAAATAATTAGGCCCTATTTAATATGTAGCATTGGAAGGTAGGGATTGGAATCATGTTAAAGTAATACCACCTTTGATATATTTAGTATGAATAATTCACAAATACTTGAGATTGCTCAGCCTTAGGTGAGAATACTCAAACCTACCACCCCATAGTGCGGTAAAGTTAATCTTGGGGTTGAAACTTTCATGACAAATATACCCTCTTGAAGAATGCTTGGACTTGTCCTCATCTCCTTCACCTCATTTTCTCAAACACGTGGCGACGACTTCCTCCCTTATTGACAAACAAGCAACAAATGACTAAGATCGAGCTTGTAAGTTTCTATAGTTTTATTCTTCTCCTTTTTACATAGTTCCCTTTTTTCTTGTGTCGCTTGAGCATGTTGAAATCTTGTGGAGAATTGATGTAGACAAGAACTTGAAATGAAAGGCCAGCATTCTTGGACGAGATTGACGTCAGTGACCTGGAGCCAATGTTCTTAAATGAGCCAGTGTAGAATTGGGTCCTGTAGCGAGAAGGGTAGATGAATAGGGTGATCACTGGTGAGATTAATGCCATAAGAAAACTTAAATGAGACTAACATTGGTGAGAAGCAAATAAGGAGATGGTTGGGGTAGCTGGCAGGGGGAAGGGAGGGTCGAGGTTCTATCTTGTTAGAGAAAATAGTTTTAGGGTTACAATTTTTTTATTAATTATGAGGGATATTATAATTTTTTCATAATTTATGTTTAGTTGTAAAATAAAATAAAGATAAGTATTCCCTAAAATTATTATTTCACACTAAACATAATTTTAAAGCTTTATTTTCAATACCTATTTCACTTTAAATCCAAATTCTCCTATGTTTAGGCCTACATACCAAACAAGTCTTGTTGTTTTTGAGCTTTACCAAAACTCTTTGTACTGACTTGAGGTGTAGCCCAATTAAATTATTTCATTTTGAATTATTCTACATCAACAAATAATTGCATATTTCAAACAAATCTTTCCGTATTTGCAACTTTATTTTAATAATAAACGATGTATAAAAGTTTATGATTATTTTAGTAATTGTTGTTAAGATTTCAATGGATGATGGTCATCAGTAGCCTAATTCTCAAAGTTTATGAGGAGTAATTACAATTGTTTTTGGCAAGGAGCTACATTTAATTGTATTATTTGGGCATATAGAGAGAGTGTTGAGTTGGCTGTGTTTTGACCCAAAAAAAAAAAACAGAGAGAGAGAGAGAGGGTAGATTTTATGATGCAGGCTCAGGATATGTATGCAGCATAAATTAAAGATTTAAAAGCTTTCAATGCAAGAGAAAAAGGATAGTTTTTAATAGAATTATAATGATGTGATTTATAAATAATATTTTTAAATTTATAGGAATACATTTTATTCAAAATATTTTCTGAATTTTTTTATAATAAAAGATTTCATGTGTCATAGCATATTCCAAATATTAAAAAAGAAGTATGAATTATGAAGTTAGTATACAAAGGATAGTCCTAAAATGGACAACGATGGGGAGGGGTGGGGAAAGATTCAACGAAAGGAGCAGCAGTTGGAGACTTGGAGTTTATCGACGGTGATCACCAATCCCACGCCCCACTTCCACCCACTTTCCCTCGTTCCCCACTCCCCACCCTATGTTTGACTTCAACCCACTCCATGTTCCTCCTATCACTTTCTCTCTCTTGAAAACGACAGTTGATACATGAAAGCAAAGTCAATACTCGACTTGTTATCAATATCCCCTCTCTTTACTTTTATAATTTTCTCAGCTCATGAAGCTCAACAAACATTAAAATGAAAAATAAATTGACAAGAAACCAAGCGAAAAATACATGCGTCCACACTCCACCATGTGTACATTGTCATTACTTTTATATGGAAGAAAATATAACTGTGTCTGCATGCTAACTAAGTTTGCTAAATCCACCCCTCGCAACTTGAAGTGGTGTAACTACGATTAAAGTCGAGATTGCCAGGCTCAGCATATTTATTTATTTATTTATTCACAATACAAAGGATTATTAAAAGGCATCCTTAATTGTAAAGCCACAATCTTTACCCGTACCACTGCCCTGCACTGGTCTCTTCCCTTCTTTCCATCTTTATGCCAAAGCTTTATTATCATCCTCTAACTGTCAAATTCATTCCACCCTTTTTCTCTCTTATTTTCTTCCGTCTGACCTGGGGGTCTAACCCCACCAAACAAAAACAGGAAATATTCTCAATCCAGCACCATTCACTTCGATTCTTCCTAGCGTCCATCCAAAAAGATTCCCCCCTCTTCCTCACAGTATTGATTTCATTCAGTCAAAAACTGCCAAAACAGCATCATGAAATCCTTCAAGCAGTCGCCTCCACGTCACATGGCCACGCCCCTCAATAGGTCCATTCTTGAGGCAGCCTCGTCTCGTTCTGCAAACTTGCTGGCTCCTTCCGTGATTGTCGCTTCTGCAACGAAAACATGCCGTCCTTGTTACTCACCAGAACTTCTGCAAATAACGTGATCCCAAAACCAATTGTTAGTCAAACGGTAGCCACATCTTGAGCGTATTAGTTTCACTCTTTCACTCTTCTGAGACTGCTCCCCAGTTTTTCTAATCTGAGCTGGCTTTTCCCTCAAGGGACTTTCAATGAAGGCCAATATGAGTGGTTAAATAATAAATAACAGATTGTGATGGCAGGTAACAAGTTGGGTACCTTGCAAGGGAGGGAATCCGCCGGCTTTGGGTCCGGCCGTGGCGGCCATTTGGTCAAAGTGGAGTTGTAATGCCTGCACCACTCTGGCCGGTATCAATACAGTGGAGCAACCTGACATGTATGCATCACCTTTTTAGATGCAAATATCCAAACCCCATCTTATATTTCTGCCATAAAATTAAAATCTTTTTCTTTTTTATTTTTCTTCTCTTATGATGCCCAAAGAATCTAACTTTTTGAATCGAGCATGCATGTGCTGCATTTAATAGAATATTCCATCTCCCGCAGACGGTCGGGATTCCAGGTTAAAACGCATCTTTCAAGGGGGAAGAAAACAAATTCGGACCAAAACTCGCGATAAACGGTTAAATTATAATTTAAGACGGTTGATATTCCATTTCAGGGCCAACTACTTCAACGACTACAGAACTAAAGAATGGACAACCAAATCTTGAAGCAACTCAACCAACCAAATTCATATCTTCGTATTACCTGACTTCTTGCGCGATTCAGGCGGAGCAGTGTTCACGCGAGGCAAGAACACGCCGGTCCCACAGGACCCGGTTCTCGAACCCGACCCTCCACGAAAAACTGCTCGCGTGCCCGATCCGGATGCTTGCTGCTGGTTTTGTGGCTCCTGCAGGGGAGCCGCTTGGTTGTTCGAAGTAAACAAAGGTAGCGGGCGATTCCTACGTGCATTACCCAACCCGACGCTGCTGCCTTTACCTTTCTTCTGGACTTGCTGAATCTGTTCGCCGGGTTCAGTTTGGGCCTGGCTTGCCGGATAGTCAGCGAGTGCTCGCTTCATAATCTGCTGTTGATTTAGGCGGGATAACTGCTTCAGGTAAATAAACCATTTGACGAAGGGAGTTATCACTACAACGCTGAGTAATTTTCAATATTCCAAGCAAGAACATAAGGATATGACGGTGTGTTCTTACCTGAACAGCTCGAATTTGTTGGTCAATGAGAGCTTGGTTGAAGCTGCAATTCCCATAACCGTGGAGGTATTTTGAATGCCCTCTTCCGTCGAGGTTCATCTTCTCAAGCATCCCGACGACGTCGTGTGCGGTCTCCCGACAAGAGTCTTTGCCATCACAGGGCGTAGCCGGCGGCGTTGGTTCCAGAGAAGGGCCTTCCGGGCTCCCTTGGTTCGAGCCCAACGGCGACCAGAGAGTAGACTGGGACGAATCAGTGGAATCCCATGACTTGAGAATAAGGAAGGAGACGACAGGACAAAAAAGAAAAAGAATTAAGTGCTACAGATTACGATGAGCTGCCAAAGAAGGAACATAAAAGCAAGAAATAAATTGATATTTTCCTGTTGGATATATGAGCAGAGGGGATGAATTTAAAAACAGTACCATCTCCAAATCGCTAGAGCCAGTGCCAGATAAGTGGGACTGGTCGTCGTCCTGAAACATGAAGTGAGCCATCTCGCGTGTCAACTCGAAGATGAAATCGTCATCCTTGTCGTCGCTGCTCTGCGCGGCGGCAGTAGGAACGGGAGAAGATATATGGAATCCAAACTCGTGGGGGTCGAAAGCAGAGCGTGTGTGGTCGGAGAATGTTGGGTATGCAGAGAGAACATGATGATCCTGGTCAGGAAGAAAGTGAGAAGGAAGCGTCGATTCTCCAGACTGTAGGTCAACAGCCATCATGAAAAGGGAAGCGGGGTTATGGTGGAAGCCAGAGGGGATGGATGATTGGGAATAATGGTTGTCACTGGTCGTAGAAGCTACAATAAGTAGTTGATTTCCGCGAGAGCTGGAAGGGAAGAGGAGGAGGACTGGAAGGATGGTGGCTGGCTCTGGGTGAATTTAGAAAAACGTTGGATTTTGAAGGGAGGCAATTGAGCATAAAGCCGAAAGAGGAGGGACGGGACGGATGAGAGGAGATGGAGTCGGTGATGAAGGGGCGAGGCTAGGGTGGGGCCAGCGGTAATGTCTCTGTGAGAGAGAGAGTGAGTCAGTTGGTTTGAGAGAGGCAGGGATCGGCTTTAGTAGTTGGGCCGTACAGTTCACAGCTGTCCGACTCGCCTCACCTGCCATCTGTTACAAGGCTTGGCATCTGAAGTTGCATCTGAGGCCACCCCCGGCAGAGTAATTCCACTCATATTTCCTCCAGAATACCCTACCAACTAAAATATAGAAACACGAGGCCCAGTTATTCTGATTCTAATCGAAAACACTAGTGCCATAACCGTCCTCGTGGATTTCTCGTGTTTATTTAACTGCATTCATTTCGATGTATGAGCCTATGAGGTAGATGGGAAACAATAATGCGTAGTTGAAATCCAGACGTTTGTTGGCACAGTTCTGTTTTTTTTTTTTTTTTTAATGGGACGAGAAGAAAGGAAGTCCTTTTGCGGATGCTAATGTTCCCAAGTCACGTCTTTTAATCAAGTTAAATAAATTTTTAATTTAAACCAAGTCTTATTTAAAAAAAAAATTGCAAGTCTAGGTCTTCGACAAGAAGTGTCTCGGGATGTAAATATATGTTTTGTAGCCAATGTATGGAAAAATAGGAGTTGTTAAGCACGGAGAGAAAATTCCAAGTGACAAGAAGACATGACAAGGGACATGGGGGGTGTGCACTTATTTGTATAACCAGAAATAGGGTTTCGTCTCTAGTTTTGATGGTTTTAGCTGTTAAATTTGGCGTTCATGCCATGCGTGTGTTCTTCAAAGTCAATAAAGTCAGCTGATTGTTGATTAGGTGCGAGCCACTGAATGCATATTGCCTTCCCACTTTAATCTAATCTAATAATTATTAAAAACAACTGTCCCATAAAACCCAAAGCTGCCCCTGCTTCTTGAATATTCAGAAGCAAAGATGGGAACGGGTATAACTTCGAGTTTTCCACATATCATGGTGGATCTTTGTCAAACCTTCACAACTAATTGCCCACCATCCCCCAAGACCACACCCCGCCAAATCATTCTTAATGCTATATCGAAAGATGACTCGCTACCTATCCGTACTCGCCGGCCACTCCGCAGAAGGGTTAAATTAATATGAAACAAGGACATATTTAAATTTAACAATTGACCACGTACTATAATACGGATAACTTTTAAGTTTCAAGAGTGAGATTCGTGACTTTAGTACATGGTTCAGTAGCTGATAGAGAATGATTCACGCGAGTGGCGACAGACACCCCAGGTACAATGGCAAACAAAAAATGATGGTAGTTCAGATAAGACTGGTGAAGCTCCATCTAACATTCAACCAAATCCCAAGCAACCACAGCTCGCTTAACTTATTCCACTTCTTAACCTTCTTAACATACTAATTTCCGTTTTACAGCTACAACTACAAGTTTGCAGCACTCGCGCGCAGTCTATACATCTACTTCACTTTATTTTTAAATACATCTGTTATGTTTCAATTTCAAGAGAAAGTTATGCAACTTCTCATAGATAAATGCCAGAACCGCCCGACCAAAATCAAAGTCAACGTTAAACCCTCAGAGTGGTGTTGACCGAAGATGGGATCCATAATGGATGGACTGAGTGGATAAAGTTCAAGACTTAAGTTTCAACATTGTTTTGTTTTGGGTTAAAAGCCTAACACACGGATTTAATTTGTGACAAGTCAATATGAAATGACCGCCCCGATAAACTTTGATGGAGAATTTTCAATTTACTCAGCCAATAGTAAATAATTCAGCCTTAAATAAAAAATATACGATTCAAAAATATGTTTGATAAGGCATGTGCATTAATCGGAGACTCACATCTACCAAACTCAAAACTTGAGAAGTTTATTTTTAAATTGTAGGTGGAATTGATTTTGATGGTTGAGTCCAGAACCTGCCTTTGTTGGCAATTTCATGTATCTCTGTTTGGATGCAGAATGGGAAGCTTGATGGTGGAGTTGCCTGTAATCCAGACATGCTTTTAGAGGGGACAATACTTAGTTGAGAATTAAAGTTTAGTCCGTGTAGTAGGTTGGTTATTTTATCTGGGCTTGAGCTATGGGCTGCATTGAGTTATTTTGAGGTTTCACTCTTGTTTTTCTTTTCTTGTTTTAGATATAGGCTATATATGTTGTCTTGAAGCCTGTTTAGGTTAATTGAACCATGTGTGGCTTTTGCCCATATTAGGTGTTTTTCTCTTCAGCCCAAGAGGCTTATTTCAATATAGTGTATTATTCGATTCCTTTTCATCTTCGCACAGTACTGATTGAAGATGTCAATAGTACTCAACTTTGCAACTCATTTGGAAAATAAAGGGAACAGTACAATGTTTGAATAACCAATAGCATTATCTTTGAATTCAGATAAATTCTTTTCCCCAAGCACGTTGTTTCGCATTTTCAACAACTCATTCCTGCGTCAAAATATGGCCTTGTTTCCATTAGCAAACCAACTACAAACCCAAAATAAAAACAAATAGTACAGTATTTTGAAGCCAATTCTTCTAAATTAAGTATTCAATACCTTGATATGTTTCATACAGGGTTTCAGTCTAAAATGAGGCCTTGGCTTCATCTCGAGGATCTTTCAGTGGTAGGGGATTGTTTTTCCATGTCTCATCTACTTTCTCAAGAATGATGATAGACCCCATAATTAGATTCCCAATGTGAATAAGCACAGGTAATTTTTGATGAATTGATTTACACGTTAGTCCTAAGAAGTCAGGAGGAATAAACACCACTTCAGGCATACTTTGCTGCATTCATATCGAGTCCCTTTCAATTCTAGTGCTAGCTCTATTTAGGGTTGCCCGCCCACCAAGAAGCCTCGCCTCTAGTCGGCACTATGGGTTGCAGATGATTAGTCCTGATTGCTGTCTAATTATTAAATTATAAGCTTTTAATACCATGTCGTCGTAGTATAGTGGTGAGTATTCCCGCCTGTCACGCGGGCGACCCGGGTTCGATCCCCGGCAACGGCGTTTTTCTATTATCCTCCACCCCATTCTCACTTTCTATTTTAAATTTCTTTTTAGTTTTTAATTTTATAACCTTCCGCGCGCTTCGAGTTCGTGCAGCTTCCTTGCCGGGCCAAGCAAGTTATTGGATCCTAGATTCTATCTTCCACGCCACCATCAAACTTATTACAAGCAAACACTCTTCAAGACGCAAAATCCCCCTCTGAAAAGCAAAAAAATGTTGATCCTCCTCCTTTTCCTGCCTCCACCTCTTCCTCCACCGGCTCTCAAGAAATGTCCGCCGTGTTACGCCGCAGAATAACCAGGACAAGCATCCACATAATGGCCTTAGATGGCATCGTCAACGTAAACTCACTCTTCACCTTGGCGCTCTTCCTCGGCATCACATCTACCAACATCAATTCCACCCTCGTCGATGCCGACACCACCTGCGCAGCCGGACCCTCCGTTGCCGAAGGCCTTATTACTTACCACGTCTACTCCTTCAGCTGCTTCCTCTTCTCCAGCCTCATCGCCATGGCTCTCAAACAGGCCATCAACATCAGCAAGGGTGTGGAGGAAGCCGATGCTCTGGGCGTTGCTGGTGTGCGCAATGACGCCTTGAGCTTCGTCGTCAAAGTTGACATTTTGGCTCTCAGGACGGGGATCCTCGTTTCGGCCATTGGATCGGTTTTTGGATGTGGGTTCTTGGTCATGGCTCTGGTGAATCTTGTGCAGATCAAGTTGGGAACTCTGGGTTGTGGGAGTCACTACACTTTTGCTGCTGTTGGTCCCCTGCTCTTTCTCGTTCCCATGGCACTTGTCATCTACATCGTTCTCGTGCTCTACGCCTTTTCTCGCTGAGGATTTCCAGAGAAATTCCTTCCGTGTTTATTGCGCCTTTTTGCGATGTTCTGGAGCAAATTTCCAAACTCAAAGGAAAGAACAGGTAGCATCTGATGGTCGATTATGTATATACTAGTATAACTTTCAACTGGTAACTACGATGGTCCGACAGACTGGGTTTAAATTAGTAATGGATTTTGTAGTGGTTCTAAGGCTCAGCATTAATACCCATGGTGAATCTGAATTTTCATATCTCCGCTGCTTCATCTTCCAGTTCATCTCTTTCTTATTGTCCTCAGTCGGTGCCGCTGATGTGTTCAATGCCGATCACTGTTGAAAACAGCAGATCAAAATGAATTCAACCAACCAACCACCTCTTGCATTCAAATAAATTTAGTTGTCTGATATGCCTATAAATACCTTGAAAATCATTACCACCTTAATTTTTTCAAAGGAGCAAACCATGACGTCATATATCCCGTAGCAGGATCAGATCGATGTTGTTCTCCTCCGGAGAGAGGTCTCAAAAAAATCTTGTTTCCCTTATGCTGCTCAAAATAGGATATGGTACATGTCCTTTAAACAAAATTCTGAATGTCAGTTCCTGTGGAGGATCTGGAGAATTCTTCATGCCCGCATATCTGTTCATTGCATCCGGAGGAAGCACTGATGTGGTTCACTCGTTTCCATAATTGCATTACTTCGTCCATAAGTTTAAATCTCTTACCACTGCAATAATCAAGTCTTTGTAACTTGCAAGGTTAGACATGGTGCTCGAACTAATCGTTGTTGTTGCATCGCCTGAAACATCCGGAATGGATTACTTCCTAGCCCTCAAGTTTGCGTTTAGTTTTTGAAACACTCAAGAAATCGAAGCATCATGAAAGAACGTGGCAAAGTGAATCATTTCATTGAAATTATAATTATAGCCGAAAAATAGTGAGGGTGCATATTTTTTTTTCCCTTTAACTTCGCAAACGAACCGCTAATGCAATATGAGTACGCGACAGCAAGGGACAGAAATTGATGTCTGATGTGCCCAATATTAAAATAGAAGACCAGACGAATTCTGTTAACTAGGTGAAAATAGAAAGATGAAAGTAAAATAGTAGTCGTAAAAACAAAGAGACACCAATCCATGAGATACAATGCAACTCAGATTGAAGATCAGGCACACCCGCGCAGGATTGTAAAATAGCTCGAGCCTTGACCCAGAGTCTGTCTCCCGTCCTTCATTTATGCGGTACAGTGTGGTTACAGCAAAGTCATCAATACAAATACATAGAGGCAGTGACTCGCTCAGAAAAATCGTACATAAGATAAATATTAATATTATCAATAAACTAATTTTTATTAAATTATATTAAGTATAAAATTTATTAAAATTAAATGCTATTAAAGAACTATACATAAAATATAAAATTACAATAACATAACAATTATATAGTATCTATTAGAATTCTACCTTTTATTTTAATTAATAAAATTTAACTCTTTTAAGTTTTGACCAATAAGGATGGGTTTGATTTATAAGTATTTAGTTCATAATCTCCTAAAATCTCTCTCATATAAACTAAACTCTTTTAAGTTTTGACTAATGAAGATGGGTGTAATAAAATTTTCAATTTAAACAATTAAAGAAAACTATTTTCTAAACTATCATTTCCTTCTTTTTAAAACTCTTTCTATTTAATGTTAAAATACATAAATGAGATCTTGGTTAAATAAATATTTTAGAAAATTAGTGAAATTTTTTATGGTCACATGAATTTTTTTTTTTAAGGGGTAAGGGTAATTGAAAATTTTGAATGGAGGCAAATGAAATATTTAAAATCACTTCACGCATTTTGTTCTAAGCTTGCATGGGCAATTGCCTCGTTTATGTTACAAATAGGTCCGTCCATGTGTAGAGGGAGGGAGCAAATACAACAGAGTTGTCATACAAATGACGCACATGGCCTTATCTGCTTAATAATTAATAATCGCATGATTGAGTCTCGATTCTAGTCTATTTTATAACAAACTCCCCTGCTAGTGCTCAGGATCGTTGAAAACAGCAATCATTTCCATCTCCAAGAGCAAGGCCAGGGCTTTTTATTTAGTGTTCAAGCTTCTCATGCCCATCTCAACATCTCGTCATCTCTTCAATGTTCAAGCTCATCTCTTCTATCGTGCTGAGCAGGACTGTCTGGTCCGGAGAAGTTTCTGCCAGTCATTGCAAAATTTTGAAAAGCTATTCTGCTGGAGTTGTGCTAAACCGCAATTATTTTTGCACCTTGCCTAGAGGATTGAAGACTTTGGGTTGGGTGTCATATTTAGTTATTTATTGTTTTCATATATTATATAAATAATCAGTACACAATTCATAAGCTGCCAAATTATTGAGAAGGCCGGTAAGAATAATAGAGCTCATTTTCCCAATTTCATGCAAGCATATGACTTCCGATCCGTCCAGTTTTACAATAAAATGGAAGAATGGATGGTGAATAAATGCCACAATAAAGAGCAATTAATAATTGCTGTCATTATCTTTTGACCCAAAAAAACATTTGCCAAAATTCAAAACGTTAAGAAAAACTTAGAAATGTGGAAATGGATCTTTTGTTGATACTAGGGGGTGCTGCTTTCACCATCACCATGTCTGGTTTAGATTTCAGTTTTTTTTTAAAAAAAATATATTTAATTGTCCAATTCTTAAGAACTCACTCACCGTTAAAATGTTTGTTTTTCCCTTCTAATTTTACTGAACACGTTTTTTAAAAACTAAGCAACTAAAATTGCAAAGAAGATGTGCTGGGAAATAGCATTATCCCAATTGACAGTAACGAAAGAAGCTCTCCTTCCAAAGTATAGAAATACGATCGTTTCCCGATATGCATGTCATCCCTCCTCCGTGTCCTAACAGTGATTGAAAAATACGGTAAACTAAAATACTTTCATTCAAATCAATTTCATATGATTTAAATTTATTATAGTAATGAACAAGCTTTAGAATATGTTCCCTAACACCAAAAACTCCGTCATATCGAGTACTGTCAAGAAGTGACAGATAATAATTCTTTTAAGTCTTGTCAAACTTCTTGTATTTGTTACCAATCAAGTACTTACTGCAGTATCATTTTCAGGAATGCTATCCTTAATTTCCTTTTCAATTGTGTACTTGATGATTGCTAGACAGATTCGGTTGGACTCACTCCATTGTTTATGGAAAGCTATTTTAGAAGCATTGAACTTAGAAGAGAGATCCGCAGGCTTGGGCTCTCTTAGAGCTAAATCTTTCTTAAAAATGGTCATATACATATTAAGGGACTCTTTTCAATTATCATAGTTAGTCTCATTGAGAGCCTTCACAAATGATAGTTGTATAAAAGCAGAAACTGAAATCACAAAACAAAAATTGAGAAATATTAATTATGCGTACATAACATAATTATAAAACAAATTTCTCAATAAGCGATTATCAATTATGCAACTATAATCATATATCAAAAAGGCTCATATACCATAAAAATTTAGCTTATACAAAAGTTCATACAAAATAATGCATTAAATATTCAACAAATATCTAACACATTAAAGGAGTGTTATTAGCCTATCCTCAAAACTAACCATAAAAAACACATTAATAATGTCACACCTATGGGGTATGGTCCATTATCAATGTTACAAGATCCTAAATATCATCAATAATTCATAAAGTCACAAATTTTATGACTTTAAGATAAAACAAAATAATTTCAAAGTCCTTGGAATTTTTTGGGAATTAAGGAACAAATTTAGGATTTAAGTGAAATTTTAAAAGGTGATTAGGGGTAAATGAGTAATTCTGTAAGAGATTTAGGTCAAAATTGAAATTTTTGAAAGTTAAGGGACTTATTATAATTCTCAAAAAATTTGTGGGGTCTATAGATAAATTCAAGAAATTATGGGCCATTAGAGGTAATTTAAATTGAGGCTGAAATGCAATTAACTGAAACAATAAATTTTTTTTTTGTACTATACTGGGGGCTAATACGTTTTGGGCCCAGAACTAATTTCCTCAAGTGAACGTGGCCCATTTCCTTTTACACTTTTTTTTGGATGTTGTGCACCAAACAAGTGCTGGGCCTAGAAGGTTTAATGGCCCAGAACATAGGCTTCTTCTTCCTCACTTATTCGGATCCCTAAAACCCGATTCGGGTGAGTGGTGCGACCCGGTTTCCTGGGCAAACGACTCTGCAGACCAGAACATAGCAGCTGGGAGATTCCGGTGACTTGACAGCTATGATCACAGCAACCTCCTATTGCCGCGAACTAGCAACTCCTGGCGATTATATGAGTAGTTCATGACCATGACACCGTGAACTAGCAGTGACTTTCAACGACTGTGATAATGGCGACATCAGCAGCAGCCATATCCAACTGAAGAACATCGGCGATCTCAAGTGTGTGTATATGAATATAATGTTCATCTTGAATATCTTTTCAAGAAAACCAAATGGTAATTTCCCAGCAAGAGACAATTGGTTTTGGACGAAAAAGACTAGATTTATATATATATATATACATATATATTCTCGTTTAAACAAATAAAATTATAAATCACAAGAGTTGCAAATGCCATCATTTACATGAGATATCATATAACCTAAACAAAAAGAAATTGATACACTACAGATCATATAATCCTTAACCAGGCTATGATGCCACGTGTTAAATTTGATATCTCAATTCATATATAATTAAGTAAGGTGATATATGCGTATCTGAAGAATCCATGAGTGCTTGAAAAAGCTCGATTACCTCGAGTATAAACAGGTACACAACTCACAGGTTTCCAAAACCTTAGGAAAGTTTAGAGATAATAAAGTAGAAGAAAATGAGTCGTGTGTTTGCGGTTATCGACTAATCGTCTTATATATATCAGATATGTAACCGCCTTATTAAATAATTAAATAAGTATATTATATATTATCTCTGATTCAGTCAATTAAAAAATAGAAAATAACTGACGGCTACTGAATTGTGGGTTGGGCTTCTGTCTATTGGGCTCACTTGTGTGGTTCACCTATTACGGTCCATACAAGATCATAAAGACTAATTTATTAAACTTATTAATTAATGCTAATTTATAAATAATATTCCAACGAATTAGGCCATTACTGTCAAATTATATTTACCAAAACGAAACCAGTATCAAAAGAACAAAGAAAAGATACAAGCTTTTCATTTTCTCTGCTCAAGAGGGGAAAACTACCTCTAATTTTTCTCAATATTTTGCTCATAGTTTCAACGCACCAAGCCGCCATATCAAAGCATTATTATTAGACTTGGGAAGGAACCACGTCAACGGGGCAGTTGGAAGCCCCCCGAGCTGCAGACCGATGCTTAATAATGTCCATGTAGGCTGATCGAGCTCTAACTTGGGATATGCTCTCCGATAAAGCATCTGCATCTATCTACAGCGTTAACGGATTAATGGTTGTTTTGTTCATTCACTTTGAAATTTGAGCTAACATTCCCCCCCCCCCCCCCACAAAAAAAAAAAAACAAAACAAACGATTGTTCTGACCAGGGCAAAGCTACCAGAAAGGTATGAGATTTGAGTTTGAACTTTTCAAATAAAAACTATAATATTTTAACAATCAATTATGTATAACCATAATTGCTTTACCAACGTTGGCGGAGTCTCCCCGGTCCCAACTGTCTGGAAGACCTGAACAGTGTGATGAAATACGCTCACAAATCAACATGGCAGCTTAGAAGACCCTGTATTGTTCCCAAGGTCATGTAATTAAAAGTACTGGTACATATTTTGTTTGGTAAGTAATTTAAAAAACCATAATTTTTAGTCTATATATTTTCTAATAAATCGCTGTATTTTTTTTGGGTTTTAATTTTTTAATTTTTATTTTTTAATATTTTAAATTTTTAAATGAATAAAGTGTAGGAATCTTGAAAAAATTTAAAATGATAAAAATAAAAATATAAAAATTCAGAATATCAAAATGAAGTGTGAGGATTATGAGTTAAATACATGAATTAAAAATTATATTTTTTTAAAAAAATATATCATGTTTTAATGACTTAACTTAATTACATTGAATAAAAGAAGCAGGGACAGTACGCCACCAGGCTGCGTGCGTGTAACAGTAAGAGCCAGCTCAATGCCTCGCAAGAGGTTGTCCCATTCTCCAACGCGACCCTGTTCTTTGGCAAATAAAATTTATAAAATATTTTTATTTTATTTTGTGTTCCCTAATCATATCTATAAAGCACATTACATAAAATTATTTAATTATATTTATAAATTATGATATAACTTTTTAAATAATATTTTAAAAATGATCTTTCATAAAATAAAATAATAATGTAACATTATTTTTAAAATTTATTATATAATGATATATAAAAATTTTATATATATTTTTTCCTCTCATTTCCGTGCGTATATGTATAACATTGATAAGATTGGTAGCGACAAGGAGTATCTCCTTCCTCTCTCTCTCTCTCTGTCATTGGTATTTCTGTCTTCTTTCATTGGCCCCCTTCTCCTGAAGTCGCCTGCTCTCCTCTGCTGCTCCGTGCGGTTCGTTCGGTGACCCAACCTTTCTCCCAATTTTCTAGTTTATCTTACCCGAAGACTGACAACTCGCCCAAGCACGACATCCATTCTCTCGATCAATCCGCCTCAGGGTAAGTTGTTTCGTCCCAATCGTGTTTCGCTCCTTCTGAATTGATGCTCGATTTGTGTTCGAGATTGATCCGGGTTCGATCTGATGTGTTTGAGACGCCAGGGACGAGAACAGGACTATGGCGCATAGGGTAGACCAAGAGTATGACTATCTCTTCAAGATCGTTTTGATTGGGGACTCTGGCGTGGGCAAATCCAATATTCTTTCCAGGTTTACTCGAAACGAATTTTGCTTGGACTCCAAATCTACGATTGGGGTTGAGTTCGCTACGCGAACTCTTCAGGTGCTTCCTCTATCCCGATTTTCTACTTTGAAGTCTCAAACACTGTAATCCATGGGTTTGGACTCAGATGTATATCTTTTGCTCTTTACTGACAAGGATCTCGTGATGAGTTATTTATGGTGTATGCTTTAGAACAAATAAATCATAGAGTGTGCATGCTTTGTGGTAGATGGCCGATATTTCATCTAATTGAACTCAACGACCAAGGTCTTTATGCTAGTAATCAGGTGACGAGCATCGACTGAAGTGGAAGCAACAATACAAGATCACGTGTCTTGTTTACCTTCGCCTCTTTGTTAATACAGAATAAACAGGAAGAGCTTTGTGACAAATTTACAATTTGTGAAAATAGTAAAAACAGTTTCAATGCAGCCCTATTTTTTCCGTAATTGTTGAGCGTGTTTTCCTCGTTGGTGGGATTTAATGAAAAAGGACTGTGTATCATGTATGGTAATTGGTGAAGTTTCAGGTGAATAATTTCACAGATAAAAAATTTGGATTCTACGCCCAAACACCTTTTTGATGGGTTTGAAATATTATGGAATGTTACGTTATGGGGCGGTAGATCATACTTCTCTTTTCTCTCAGTATATTATTGTGAATATGCAGGGGTAGAAGTGACAACGAGGAAAACCTGTAGGTGTTGTCCAGTAACGACAGATTTGACTTCTGAGTAGTTTGGTGGAGAACTTAGGCTAATTTGTATTTTAAAAAAAAAATTATACATTGCTGAAGAGGGTTAAGAGAAGATAAATTGATCTTAAACTCATGTCAGTGGAAACTGGTAGTCAATTGTTATGTTATATTGAATCATTGATCATTCGAACACCACAATGAGAGTATTTTGGGACAACTTCTTTTGATATACCGATCCTATAGCTTTATTTTACTCAACAGGTGGAAGGAAAGACTGTCAAGGCACAAATCTGGGACACAGCAGGTCAGGAGCGGTACCGTGCCATCACCAGTGCTTACTATAGAGGGGCTGTTGGTGCACTCCTCGTATATGACATAACTAAGCGACAGACATTCGATAATGTTCAAAGGTGGCTCCGTGAATTGAGGGACCATGCAGATTCTAATATAGTAATCATGATGGCTGGAAATAAATCTGATTTAAACAACCTTAGAGCTGTTTCAGAGGATGATGGCCAAGCATTGTCAGAGAAGGAAGGTCTTTCATTTCTGGAGACATCTGCTCTGGATGCAACCAATGTTGAAAAGGCGTTCCAAACCATTTTGACAGAGATCTATCATATTGTGAGCAAAAAGGCACTGGCGGCTCAGGAAGCGGCAGCGAACACCACTCTTCCTGGACAAGGAACCACGATCAATGTTGCAGATGCATCGGGGAGTGCCAAAAGAAGTTGCTGTTCCACCTAATTCGTCATTTAAGGAATGAAAGAAGTTGCTAGTAGATATTTTTTTGGGTTCAATTCTATTTTCACCTCTCCTTTCCCATTTATTTTTCCTTCTAAATAGGCGAGAAACATGGGTGCATTTATTACTATATTGAGTTGTCTTGAGGGAGTCAGTAATTTTTTCCCTTTTTAAAAGTTAGTGTTGCTAGTTTCTTTGAATGTTTACTTCGAGGTTAAGCTAGTTTCCCATGTATTCATCGGAAATGGGAACCAGCTGATATAAATGATATAGTGTGGTCAATGGGAATCGCGACAATGTTAGTTTGGATTTGCTTCTTGGGTTTGGTTGAGTTATTTGTCTTGGTATTCCTGCTTTGAAAGTATTTGAGGTGCCATATGATCACCTCTGTTGCAATGTTCCCAAACCAAGGGGCAACTTCTGGAGGGACCATGAAGCGGCTTAAGGTTGTGTTTGGTACATGAAAATTGAATTGAGGGAAAGGCAAAGGTAAAGGGAAGTTGTTTTCTTTTTTCTTTTTTTCTTTACCTTCAAGTGAGTTATTTTCTAGACTCGGTAAATGACAAAGTGATGTTTTAAATAGAGTTTCTAGTGTTTTTAAGGGAGAGTCATCCCATTACCGTTCTCTTTTTCATTATCATGATGTACCAAATGAATCTTGAATGTAAACATTGGAAGCCTTTTTCGGTTTTTCGTTCTCTTTTTACCATATACTCTTTCCATGAATATTTGTTGAGAAACTTAGATGTTAAAAAATATAAAATATTTTTAATATTTGAATGTGTAATTAGCATGTGTTTTTCAAAAGCATTCATAATAAATAAATTATTTTATATTTATTTTAAAGTAAAATATTTTATTAAATGAAGGTAAATATAAAAAATGTTAATTTAAAAATAAGTAATTATTTTATTAAAAATTCGGTTAAAAATAATTTATATTTTTCAATAAGGGAAGTAATATTTGAAAATTTATTAGAAATTCAAAGCCTTGCATTTCCATCCATTGACTCCTTGATTAGTCAGAGGTGGGGGACTGGAAATTTTAATGAAAATCAATGGTTCTAAAAAATAGATTAATGAAGTTATGAAATTTTAATAAAAAGGATATTTAAATCAAGAGGAAGAAGAATTAAAATCTTTTAATTTCACTTCTCTATTTTTTAATTTAATTTGATTAATTAATATTAAAGTGGTGCTGAAGAAGATGGAGATATAAGTTGAAATGCATGGAATTTTAACTTCCCAATTCATGTCCATTCATTTTTTTTTTCAATAAACTTTTTTCTTCAAAAATTTGATTATAACTTTTAAATTTCATGTTTATAACAAGGCAGTTCATTGCAATATTTGTGAACAGCGTTATTTTTTTTGGAATAAAGTCCATTCATACTATTTTACAAAAAATCGTTCGATTACATCTTTTTTCACTAGTTTAGGTAGAACATTGATCGGATCAAAATATCATTTATTTTTAATAAACCCAAAATTTTCCTATTTTTATCACTGCTTGTTTTCATAGCAGCCTAACAAATATATATCCTACCAAACAACGTTAAACAGCAATAGAAAAAATATTATATACCACGAAAACTTTGCAAAAAGAGGGGAAAAGTGCTTAGGTTTCTTGTGAGGACTGAGGACCAAGAATACAGTAAACGTGACTCTTTATAGAGGTCTAAAACAAATCAAAGGAGAAAAATAAGGGTCTACGACTTTCAGCCTGGTTCTTTTTTTCCCTCCATCAGTTCAAGTTGGTTTAACGTGCACTACTTCTAATGTTATCAAATTGCCTTGCCAATAAGATCTTATTCGATAGAGCAAAACTACAGTGCAAATCAGTTAATCTTGAATGACTTCTTTTTTCCTTTTACTGATCTCATTGAATCAGTATTCAGGTCATACTAACAGGATAATTTGAAGGTATTCAAGAAAAAAGAGGAAAAGAGTTCAAGAAAACACGCAGCTAGATGTCATCTTTCTTATTAACGTTTTCCTTTGTCGTGGCTGAGCTGAAGAAAATAATACGATGCATAGAGCATCCACCCTTTCGTGCCCTAAGTTGTGGAGACGGGTGAAATTGCTCGATTTTGAAAGGCATGTGCTTCTCTTAGCGGGGTGAGAAGCCACAAATAAATGGACTTGCTATTGTCAGAAGTGTAAAGGCTGCCGGTGGGATCGAATCATACAAAATCCATAGTTTAGGGTGTCAGATATCAGCTTTTGAATGAACTTAAGCTTTTGCTAAACAACCACAACCGTAGTAAAGTAGAAAGGGGAGACGCCGCATCCCTACTCAATTTGTACGGTTACATGATGAATTTTGTGTGCTTTTTCACAGTAATGCCTAATCCTGTTGAGTAAATCAGTGGAACCGATCCCAGGCTCAGCAACTACATGACAAGAAAGAACATTTTTCCCAACAGTAATGGCCCAGATGTGCAAGTCGCGGATGTCTTCCACTCCCTTCATACCCTTGAGGTCACTTTCCAGCTTCGTGATATTGATCTCACTTGGTGTCCTCTCCATCAGAATGCTGTAAATGTTACTGAGCGTTGGCACTGTAGTTCCCAGAGATATAACACAGAATATTAGAGTACAAATCAGGTCAACCACTAACCAATCTGGTTTAGCCCATATTACAGCTCCAGCAATCATCACCCCGACAGATTGGATCAGATCAGCCATGACATGCAGATAGGCCCCCTGCAAATTTATGTTCAGTACATTTCTTTTTCTAGGACTACTCGAGACTAGACTAAGCTCCTTTTCATCAGTCATGTTATTATGCAGCTCCTCCTTTCCATGATCATGATTTAAGTCTCCACAGCTATGGTGGTGGTGGTGGTGACTGTGATCATGACCAAGCCATAAAACCATAATTAAGTTAAGAGAAAATCCAAGTGCTGCAATTGAAAGCATGAGCATGCCATTCACCCTGGCCTTTCTGTAAAAAAGTCTCCCCACAGCTTCATACATCAAAAAGCCAGATATTAGCCAGATTAACTGAACAGAAAAAAGAGCACCCAGAACCTCAAGCCGATTGTATCCAAAAGACTGTTGTGGTGTTGCCTCCCAACCTGATGCCCACACCGCAAATAGAGAGATAGAGAATCCAGCAGTATCCGAAAGCAAATGCGCAGCATCACTGATAATAGCAAGGCTGTTGGCTTTCAAGCCACCAACAGCTTCTACAAGCATAACCATAGCATAGAAAACTATGAGTCCACAAAGTTTCTTTGCCGACTTTGATGACTCTTCGGATGCCTGAAGGCTATGTTCTCGTTTGGAAAAAGGGCAAAGAGAACTGCAAGATGACTCAGTTGCTACGGGAAGAAGATCAATTTTTTCAGAGGCAACCGTTATCTCTATCTCCTGCATGGAACTTGCTTCTAGGACAGGATTTTTTTCGTGTTCCATTTGCTTCAACAACCTGGTCATTTACTCCGGAAAACGAATCCAACAGGAGTCATTAGAACCTAGCGCTTATATATCAGCATCATCTGTTTAGTCATTGAGAGCCAATTTTCATACATTAGACTGAGTTTACGCAAAATTAAATCAGTGATGGATGGCGGAATGTGGACAAGTTTGACCACGTCAACTTGGCGACGCGGGGTAAAAATGTTTAAATTAAGGTGGATAGGTTACCGACGGGGTTGACAATTTCAGATAGAACGAACGAGAAGGCAGCTAACAGCAACACAAAAAATTTGTTGTTGAATCATGGCTGTGAAGTTCGAAGCGACATGGTAATCGGCTAAAATCATTTCAGCAGGGAAAAAGAGAAGTAATCAGAACTGACAAAATTAAAAATTATGATATGTTTATCTGGTTTTAGTTGCGTCTGGAAAATATTCGTAGGCCGTACACTGATATAAGAGACCCGCGTGATCAGCCTGATAAGAACTGAAAAGGGTAACTAGAGTTTTGTCCTTATCTAACCAACTAAAAAAGAATGAAAGTTCTAGGATAATAATAAGAAGGGGGGAAAAGGGAATGTGTAGACTAACGAAGACAAAGAAGAAATCCTAACAAAAGGGGGAAAAAAAAGGAAAATTGTTCCGAGGTCCTAACAAGATCAAGAGAGTAATGTGAAGACTAACGAAGACAAAGAAGAAATCGAACAAATTAGTTGGCATGGAAGAAGGTACCTGAAGATGAGAGCAAGAGAAAGAATTAGCTGATGTCACGAGCAGGAAATGGGGGATTAGGGTTTGGGAAAACGGAGTGTCGATCTCGCGAGAGTGAAAGAGCGACGACCCCATAATCGCGGACGTAAATAGCTGAGACATTATCTCGGACTCGAGAAGAGGGACAGGCCGGCAGCGCAGAAAACGTTGCTAAAAATAGCAAATTAAGCAAAAATATAAATAAATATAAAGAAAAAAAGGCTCTCATAGATCTCAGAAAAAATTCACCTGCAGATCATGGAGTGCCTGGAATTCCCTTGGCTAAGGCAATTATTGCGATATATCACTACTTGGTTTATAGATATGTAATGTAATCTTCAACAAATTAGTGAATAATATCGCTGCCAAAAGTATGACCTAAAAGATAAATAAAAAAAAAAGAAAAACCCAAGAAGATCAGGTCTTTTTATGATTATCATGAGTCATAAGAGAGTTATGGTGAGGAGATTAAATTACTTACCAACAATAACAATTCTTATCCACAATAAGTGTTAGTTCCTTTTATCATATCTTGATCTTTTCATGTTATATTAACAATCAATATATCATAAGTGAATGGAATACATATATTCAATATGTCGATGCCTTTTTTTTTTAAAAAAATGTAAGATACTATATATGTATAAATATTTATAGAAATTAATTATTAGATTGATATTATACTCTTTATATTTAAAAAAAAAATCAATCATACAACTGCAATCCAAACAATCCAAAATGTGAGTGTGATTATAAGTTATTTTATTGAGCACCAACAAAAAAAAAAAATACATAACCATATTTTTAACATGATCAATCCCTTATTACTTATTTCTCAGTGTTGGCTAGTAGGAACAGTGATAGACTAGTAGTCTCCTCTCCCGAATGTTCATGTATAAAAAGGAACAACTTTGCCAATAACCATTTAGTTCAATGGTATTAACTCTCTTTTCAAAGTAAGGAACTTTAAATTCTATTCCAAGTGACCCTATATGTGAGGGATTTAAAAAAGAATTTGGTGAAAGTGTATGTGGGTACATGTAGGCATTGCATGCTGCATGTCAAGTATATGAGTGTTGCATGTATGTCCCCTTTCAAACCTATTATGTTTGATTTAGAGAGAGAGAGAGAGAGAGAGAGAGAGAATAGCTCTTATGTTTGATTTATCAAAACATTTGTTTAGCACTCCAAAACATTCAATACCATTAAAAAAAACTAATGCATTTTCTATAATGTCTCACGTTTTAGTAACTCCTTGGTAAAAATTTATAATTATAGTGAAAGGTAATCTGAAAGAGTAAACTATTATAGCAATGAGAATTTAAACATCATAATAATTTTGAATACTGTATTTTATCCAGGCATTTTTTAAATTCAGTCAAAAATATAAAAATACAAAAAATAAGATTTAATTCTTTTTAGGATTATATTTTTAAAATAAAAAATTAATTAATAGGATTTGATTTTATTTTAGCCTAGGTAATCTTCTGTTAACTAAGATTCTATTTTGTTTAATTAGTTAAAACAATTAGTTTAAAAAAATTAAAAATTTTAAAAAATATTTTATCTTAAATTTTATCAATTAAGAAAATTTAGGATTAAGAAAATATTTTTTTTAGATGATCTTTCGTTTTAAAAAAATAAAAGAATAAATCAAAATTTAAAAATGGTAGTTAAAACAAACCTAACAAAATCCTAAAAATTAATTAAATAAAAATTTCCTTTAAATTTTAATGAAAAATTTAGGTTTGAAATAACAGATCCTTCATATTAAATATTCTCATTTTAAATTAAAGTAATATATATATATAGTATTTCATTTTTTTAAAAAAGAAAAGGGTTATAAAAAAAGAAAAAAGGCACCGAAAGATGAAGGTTTTTCAGTTCATGCTGCAAACACACGCACGCCAAAAAGAAATGCAAAGATGCACGCAGAAGAAGAAAAGAAATGCAGAGACGTACGTAGAAGAAGAGCAGAAGCACAGAAGACTAGAGAGAAAGGGAACACACAAGCTTCAGAAGTGTACTTCCCTGCTTCTACTTTTTGGAAAACGGTGAAGTTAAGGAAGAAGAAAAAGACCAGATTCGCACGTTAAAGAAGGGTGGCGTTGCAGAGGAAATCCGGTGCCATGTGAGGAAGGAGAAGCAGAATCGAGTCAGAGTCTACAGATTCACACTACCCAGGTATTTATTTATTTTCCCTTCTGGTCTTAATATAAAGAGGAGACAGAGGTGGGAGTGATTTTGGGGGAGAAGAGCAGAGTTTTGAGAGCTTTGAGAGAGAGAAAACTAAGAGAGCACAGGAGAATTTGAGGCAGAAAGAGTTGAAGGCAAGAGGATGATTGAGAGCTAGAGGAAGGAAGCAGAACATGGCAGAGGGAAAGACCAAACGTTCAATAGGGGAGAAGGAACAATTGAATATGTCCATCTCTGTTAAAAGGTTCGAAGCCAATCTTGAGTCTAATTTAATTAACATTTCAATTTTTAGACTATCTCTATATCTTATTTCATAGAGTTCATGTTGATGTTGAGATGCACAAATGGATCTGTACAGATGTTGCCTAAATATAGAAATCCCTTTGTTCTTTTTCGATCATGAATTTGAATGGATATATGAATTAGGAGGTTGAAAACACATTTCCTTTGATATTTATCAAAGTTGTTTGCTGTGGATTGATGATTGTTAGGTACATATTGCTCTGGATTTTGATGAATTATGTGTACCTGTCATTCTTGAAATTTTAGTTTTTTGGAATCAGCCATTCTTGAAATTGTTATAGCTTAAGATAAAGAGCATTTATGTGGCCATGATTTCTCTAATGAGGTTACTACTGTTATGAGTATGAAAGTCTTTGCCTTGATTCCTAGATTTACTTATCTTCATTTCTTAATTCTATTTCTTGCCTTCATGGATTTTTATGTACTGTTGTAGATATTATTTTGACCTAAAATTTTGTACCCAACCTCTCCTTAAAGTCTGGTTTGAGGCATAAAATTTTCTTGATTTTTAGATCTAGTTTTCCTTGTTAAGTATACTATGTTTTAAAGGCTGGTTGAGAAATTTTCTGTCATCCTAATAGCTCACTTTGTTGATTTTTCTCCAACTATACCTAGGTAATCCTTGCACGAAATTTTGCATAAACATTTATCTTCTTGTTTTGTTTGATGTATAAAATTTTCATGACTTTTGGAGCCCATTTGCAAGGTCAAATATGTTGGTTTTGGAACTGATCATGAAAATTTTTCCTCTATCAGTTTGTTATAGCCTGAGTAATGCGTTTTTATGTGCTGATACAGAGGTGAAATTAGTCCAAAATTTTGTATCCATGACACTCTCTAATTATTGTTTGAGACATAAAATTCTTAAAATTTTTAGATCTCATTTATCTATTCAATTACATTGGTTTCTAAGAGTTTGTCGATTAACCTCATGTTAATTTTACAACTTAATTGGTGAACTTTTTGCTTCTTGTACGAAGGCACTTTTGAGCTAAATTTTTTTTATCTATATTTCTCTACATGTACAATTTAATGTATAAAATTTACAAGATTTTTAGAGTTCCTTTGTAGAATCAAATACAATAAATTTTAGATGATAGGCAGCATAATAAGGATATTCTTGAATAACTAACATCGTAAGAGAAAATTAGAATACCTATAAAATGATCCCCTATCATGTAAATTAATAAAATTTTACAGGTATGAAGATCCAACTTGTATATATTAATACAGGTTTCAAAACCCATCATTAAAATTAACTCTTTATATATATATATATATATATATACATATATATAATTTAAATCAATAAAATATTTAAGTCTAATGAGAGATTTCAAAAATTTTTGTAGATATTTAAATTAAATATATTATCATGTGGGGTAATAAATCCTTGCAGATGATGTGATTATCACTTTGTATATATAGTAAATAAATAAATAATTTTTATAAATAAAATTATAAACGTTTTTAATAAAATTAATTAATCAAATTAAGGTATTCAACCTTTTGGTCATATGAGATTTTTGAATATTCATAGACTTCTAGAACAATCATCTTACCATAAAAGTCAATAAGACTTCGTAAGTATAGCGATTAAAATTTCTATGTTTAAAAATGTAAATTGTATAATTACACATTAAAATATATTTAAAATATATATTCCTTTATTGTGTGAGGATTTTGAATCTCCGCAGATATTTAGGATAATTATATTACCGTAAAAGTCAATAAGGCTTTGCAGGTATGATGATTAAGATTTTTTTTAAAAAAGTATATATGTATGAATGTACTAAAAAATAATGATATTATTAATATTTAAAAATTTAAGTAAATAAACTAAGTTGTTAAATTCTTTTATTGTGTGAGAATTTGGATTCTCCGCAGATATATAGAATAATTGTATTAATGAGCCAATAAAACTCTGCAAGTATAGCAGTTAAATTTTCAATTATAAAATATAAAAAAATAAAATAATAATTTAAACCTTTTACCTTTTTCTTATTCTAAAAATTTAAAAATAGAGAAAATAATTAAAATTAAATCACTTTTTGCAATTTAAAATATACACATCAAAATTTAAAAAATTATTTTATTTACAAAATGGTGAATTATTTTTAATTAATTTCTCTTCAATAAATATTTTCACTAACAATTTTTAAGCCCGAACTACGTGGACTTTGATCCTCATCACAGGGTACGTAGGCCTTAGAGTCAGATTTTGAGTCAAGTTCTCCATCGTAAGTAAATAAATATTTCTCACTTAATTCTTATTATTTTTATATCAAACACATGAATATAAAAAAAAATAATTAAAATAATTTTAAAATTATATTTATATAGCACAGCAAACTTTAGGTAACCGTTCTTATGAACGGGTGTTATAAGATGCCTAACATCTTTCTCACACTCAATCGACTCCCAAACTTATTTTCTGCTTTTGCAGACTACCCTTATCCTCCTTTAAACGGTTTTCCAAGATTTTTCTCCAAATTTTGGCGGCAACCTCCATTTCTTTAGTCTTCTTTCCGAAGGTTGAAACCTCCGCTCTCGCGTCGTCTGCGTCGCATTTTTCGAGTGCGATAATAATCTTTAACAAAATTTAATTTGCAAGAAATGATTTTGAAGAATAATCTTGAAATGTTGTTTGCTAGAAGTATTAGCTACATAATAATTTTTTTAAAAAAAATAAAAGACATATTTTGACATTATTCATATACACATTGAAAAAGTATCAACATATATCAATATTGTATCGGATACCAACATGAATACATCAATCAATTTGAAGTATCAATATTTTATAGTTAATAATCAATTATTTATTTTAAAAATATATAAT